TCCCTCATCCCGTTCCCATTTTCCTCTGTTCTTGTTTTGTAACCGTGATCATGAATTATCCTTGTAACAGCCTAATAGGGATCACCAACTGGCCTTCTTCTTCTTCATTGTAATGAACAAAGGAGCGCCAAATCATCGCCGACTATCTCTATTCTCTATAACAGTGATGGAGAAAAGAAAAAAAAAAAAAACAATAATGAAAGAAAAGGAGGGAGAGCGAGAATGAAGTAAAACAAATGGAGACTTGGAGAGATGGGAAGGGGAGGAGGAGCAACGGCGCTGTTCTCACCGTCGCTGCTCACGAAGCATAGTAGATGTGCCCCTTTGAAAACAAAGCAAAACATTTTTTGAGATAAAAAGTTCTCTCTTAACTTACGTGTGCCCCTTTCAAAATTTAATAAAAAATGACTGATTCCCAACCCTTGTTTTCCTTTTTCATGCTGTTAAACTCCATTTTAATCTTTTCTTATTTATATAGTTTTCTCTTTTCTCTTTCTTTATAATTCTAATATTTTCTATAAAGAAATTAAGTTGAATTTTTTATTAATTTAATTTATTGTTTTTTAAATTTCTTTTATCATTTACATTTATTGGTTTACCATTTAAAAATGTTTTGTATTTATTTTATGGTATTTAATTATTTTAACATTTTAATTATCATTAATAGTATATTTAGTATTTTTATTTATTGGTTAAGAAATTTTTGATATTTTATGATAATAAAGGCAAATTTTATATCTTACATTATTTTTATTAGTATTATTATATTATTAATATATTACATTTTATACTTATTTTACATTATTTTTAAGAATATTATTTATTAGTTTTTAATTATTTATTATTTTTATGATACTAAACTTTTTTTATTACTCTTTTACTGTGTATTTTAAATCATTTTCATTTATTTTTTATCTAAATAATAACTTTGAGGGGTAAATTTGTAAAATACACAGTTCTCAGATTAACATTTAAATTACTAAATAAGTCCAATATTCAAACGCCTACAAAAGTGAAAAAGCAAATTTTCCACTGAATGCTTTCAGAGCTTTTTCAGAGGTATTTTTGTTTTTCAAACTTCAGATTTACTAATGCCACTTAAATTTTGTATTACATGATCTCAATCAGGGTCAAGGGGTAGGGATGGCAATTTTCCCCATCCCCAACGGGGATCTGACTTCTCCGACCCGATGGGGTTGGGGGTGGGGATTGAGGTCCCCACCCTGCCCCGACCTCAATTATATATATATATATATATCAAAATATATTTAAAGCATTATTTATAATTTAAAATTTTTATTTATTTTAAATAAATTTATTTTTCAAAAAAATACTATAATCTAAAAAAATTTTGGGAATTCAGGTCCTTGCGAGGAACCCATCCCCGTTGGGGATTGGGGATGGAGGACAAATTTTATCTCCAGTGGGGATCGAGGATGGGGATGGGGATTAATTTTAAAATTGGGGGCGGGGATAGGGAATATGATCCCCGCCCCGTTGCCATTCCTACTAAAGAACCTTAATAGGTATATATCTATACCTACTGCTATAGCCATTCCTACTGCTATAGCTACATCCAAACAGACATATATCTATACTACTTTAAAAAGTACGAATAGCCTTAATAATATTTCTATAATTTTTTGAGGACAAAATTTACCCCTCCATATTTAAATTTATTGATAAAAAAAGAGAGCAAATAGGGTAATTGTTTATTGATATTAAATGACTTGAAAAGATGTAATTTTAAGATATTCAATGCATTCAATTCCCTCTCATTAAATCCAACATTTAAGGTATTAATTTGCATTCACCTTCATTGAATCATATATTTAGGGCATTTTTGTTTATTCTCATCATTAACTTCTATTAATTAAATCCATATATAATAAATTAATAATTTCAATAATACAAAAAAGTTATACTTTTAAAATATACCTTGAAAAAAGTGTTTTCATTAGGTGGTGGTAAGAAATTAAATAATTTTGGGTCAAATGGAACAATCCATGTTGTCACAATTAAATAATAAAATTAAAAAATAAATAAAATGCAGAAAAAATATAGAAATTAAATAAAATGAGAACATTTTTAACATCATATATCTGACATATTAAATAAGAATAAGTATGATAAATAAGAAATTATTTTATTAATGATGGAATTGGAATGTAAAATTTAAAACTAATTGGAAATAAAACTATTTTCCTATTTTCACTCATTAAATATCATATCTAAGGTATATTCTTTCATTAAATCCTATATTTAAGATATACTTTTCTCATCATTAAATTCTACTAATTAAATCCATAACATTAACTTTAATAGTATAAAAATAAATATTTTAAAAAAGGAATTTAAAAACAAAACCATTTTCTTTGCTCCTGGTGGTGGGTAAGCAATTCTACCATATGGGGCCAAATGGGTTAATAAATAATGTCGTAGTTAAATAATAAAATAAATTAAATATATAATACAAATAAAAATAAAAAAGAATTGGACATGTCTCTAATATTGTGTATTCATTATACTAAACAAAAATAAGTATGAAATGTAAGAAGTATTCTTATTAATGTTGAAAATGGAATGCCAAATTTAAAATCAACTTAGAAATGAAATGATGACATAGCCAAATAATAAAATTTTTAAAAATAAAAAATACAAAGAATCACAAAAATAAAAAATAGAGAAACATTTGGACACATACCTATTGTTATATATTTATAAAAAGTAAAATATTGGGTACATATCTAATATTATGCATTCATTATATTGAACAAAAATAAGTATTATACATAAGAAATAATTTGATCAATGATGAAAATGTAATACAAAATTTAATGTCAATACAGAAATCAAACTATTTTTCTTTTTGGATGGTGAGTTAGTGCTTTAGGTCAAATGGACTAATCGATGATATGATAGCTAAGTAGTAAATCTTTAAAAAATTAAAAAAGTACAAGTAATCAAAAGAATATATAAAAATTATATATTAATTATGTCAAACAAAAATTAAGTATGATAAATAAAAATTATTTATATAGTGTAAATAAAATATATAACTTAAAACTAATCCGAAAGCAAAGCTGTTTTTTTATTTAGATGGTGGGTCAATGGTCCAACTTTTCAAAGAAACTCATGATGTCATAATTGAATAATAAATATTAAAAAAAGATAGAATACAAAAAATGAAGAAATGCAGAATTTTGTCGAAAACAGTTGGAAACATTTCTAATGTTCTATATTCATCATACTAAATAAACATAATTTTTAAAATAAAATATATGAAGAAAACAATTCTCACGTACAATGCATGTATTTAATTACTAATTTCTCTAAAAATGGAGACACCATGAACTCATGGGTATCGTTCTCAACTTAAAGTATGAAAGTTCAATTACGTGATGAAAAGAAGTTTAGATCAAATAATTAAAAAAATGAAATTTAATTTGTATATTGTTGGTTGAACATTCGATATCCAATAAATACAATAAAAATGGAGAAAATTAATATATCATAATTTTTGGCCCAGCTGCTTTTGTTTGTAAGACGTCATCCATGTTCTTCAGTGCTCAACACGTAGGACAGTTTCTTTTTAAGAAACTTTGCTCTTCCGAACACTTGATTTAAAAGAGTATTAATTTTCTCACTGGTCACTGCTAAGCTCTCTTGATGGGTAATTGGGTATTTCAATTTCCAAACGGTCAAGTTGTAAACCGATAATAAGTCTGAAAGATTTTTTTTTTTTTGCACACAAAAACAGCTTCAATTTAAGCAAAAAAGATGGGCCATTGGATTTAACTGTCTATTTACATAAATAAGCGAGAAGGATTGAAAACTGAGCAGCAGCCTCCAGATGTGAACTCAGTGCATCCGTTCTACCCATGAACTTGGTCCGGTGTGAATTATGAAGAGATTAACTAAGTTTTTAACAATCAGAAAGATTGAGCCAGTAATTTTATGTAATTTTTTTAATTAATATAGTATAGATTCAAATCTCATTTATTAATATTCGCGGACCAATTCCTCTCCATTAGATTTAGATAGGACTGTTGGATATTGAAAACTATTAACAATGAATATGATATTAAGGTTCAACTATATGATATGGAAAAGCTTACACAGTCAATCAACCGGTATTGTAAAGGGCGATCAATCACATGGTATTCATCAAAATTCAAAATTTATGGGATATTTTGATTGATCAAAGTTCTTCCAATATAATACAAGAAATTCTATGTAACAAGACGATATCTGCAACGCCCTTCTTCAACGTCCTACAAATATGATGGAGGCCAAGTACATATATATATTCCCAGCAGGCCGAAGTTTTGTACGGTTCAACTTGAGATGGGGTTGGGCTGGTCAGTTCAATCGGGCTTTAGAAGTTTAACGTGCTCACGATCTCTTTCTTTCTTGGGGGGATTAAGGTGTTGGGCCGTTGGGGATAGAGCAGGGTGGACTAGAGGTCTACTGACTCTTCCCCTTTCACGGAGAGCCGACAGCTTTGATCATCTACCAGTATTTTAGGGCCCGTTTGGTATGTTTTTTTGAGAAGATCTTTTAGTAGTTTTGACAGTTAAAAGACGTATTAAACTTTTGCATGAAGATTTGAACAGTCCAAATCACACTTGGTAGATGCACGTCCTTCCGTGTCTTTTCTTGCAAGAATAAAATGTGAAAGATGTGAAAAATTTCATTTGGAGCTTCTCGAAATCAGCTTAAAGTGGACTCACATCTTTTCGATGCTCCAGCTTTTGACAACTAGATCTTCTTTGCATCAAACAGAATTAGACCAAAAACAAGTCTACCCAACTTATAAACAACCGAAAAACCGCACAGAAAGACACACTAAACGGTCTCTTAATTAAGATGCATGAGTAAATCATTATATATACCACTTTTATTTTTGTTTCTTTAAATGGGTAATTTCCATTGAGTTTACTTACTCCAATATTACATACCATTTGTTTAAGCTTGTTTGCATCTCCAATAATCATCCATTGTCGCATAAACGTAAACAAGCTAGTTTCATTAATAGTTTAATGGTTAATATAGGAAGAACAAACTCTACTAGATATTTTATTTAACAGACAAAATGATAAAATAAAGTCACAGTTCAGTGTGTGTAGAGGGAGCAGTAGAGGGCGCCCTTGCATGATCATGATCATGTCCAGTGAAAGAAGGGAATTCAATAGTCGAATCGCACCTGCTCCTAGGATACACAGGGCACTTGATGAGGTCAGGCCCAGATTTGTCCACACACAAGTAGACCTGGTAAAGCTGACTGTTACCCGACCCGTCCACATTGCACTCTATTCCAGGAGTATATCCAGTTGCTTCGCTTATGGCTACCTTGATATCACGCAAATTGTAAAAATTCCCGTCCGGGTTGATTCCTGTATGTATATATATATATATGCAAAAGTACAACAATAATATTATTGAAAAGAAAACGATACCAAAATCGATGATCTAGATCAGCTCGTTATCAAGTCCTTAATTAATTAGCAGTAAATTAAAGAAGAGCACAGAAAAGAAATGAGTCAAGTCAGTCTGAACCCAAGACAATCGTCCCCCATATTTACAGCCGATATATGCAAGCTCTTGATGAGCAAGTATTCCTTGGACGACATTACCTGCTTCAGCGAGGATTTGGAGGAGGTCCACTTTTTTCTTAAGGTTGAGAGCTGTTTCGAAGTATCCATGTTGGTCAAGGACAGACTCTGAACAGGTTCCATGCTTATTCCATTCATGAGACCAGAACTTGAGCATATCATTGTTCGGACAGGCAAGTGATGGCCAACTCCTCTGCATTCTGTCGGTTAAGTCTGTTATCTACATCAAGATTGGAGATATTAATTAATCAGCAACAGGGTAGATAAAAGGGGGTTTAATTAATTATTTAGTGAAAGCAAACCATCCTATTTGTTTCTACTCTAACTAAACTCGTACTCTTGCTCTTGTTTTGAAACCAAAATCCGGGATTTGATTTGATACTTTTGATTCCCTTGACTTTTGACTATGGTTTTGAAAACCGGATCACACCAGATGGTCAGACCAGTTGCTTCTGAAATTGGCCATGGCTCATTCGCTCTGAATCCTACTTTGAACCCTAAGGCTGTCCAATCAGGATTTGGATCGGATGGTCAGACCACTTGATCCAAAAATCAGTGGTCAAAGCGTTCCATTTCCTGTCCAATTTTCAAAACCATATATGCTTTCGACAGAGTTAAATTAAGCAGTTAGTGCAGCGGATTGTCCAGTTACATCAAGTCAAGGTTTTGTTCAACGAAAAGAGAAACCGATATGGTGTCGGTGAATAGTTAAGGACCACGAGAGAAATATTTTTATGTAATCAATTTGCAATCACCTAATCCAATTAATAGTATCTCCCCAAATTCTTAATTCCAATCCTGACTTTTTTTTTTTCAAATCAAGTTTTCTTGTATGTGGTTTTAAATTAAAAGTTTTTTTTTTTTTTTTTTCAATTTGGTCTGGGGCAAATCTTATCCCTTGTACTTGGCCAAGGCCAATCTATACCATTTTCTAGACGTTGCTTGAGTTAAAAGGTTGAAGCGCCCATAGACTAACTAAATATCATTTAAGGCTGCATTTGGTATTTCTTGTTTTAAGTACTTATCTCCTGTTTCTAGTTGAAATGCCCCTATGAATATTAAATTTTTAAATGCAAAAAGGAGATAAGTCCTTAAAACAAATAATACCGAATGCAGCCTAAAGCTGTCAATTGATCAGAGATGGATCCCAATCAAGATTGTAAACTTTTATATATGTAGATATGGAGTTGGAAGCTAGGGTTGTCAAGCGATCAGCTGAAATGGAGAGGTCTAGATGGTTTATCCATTTACTACCTTAAATGGTTGAGCTGTCGATTGCCACTACCGATTCCATAGTTGAAGCAAATTGTATGTATTTATGTGTACGATTCCTATTTTCTTTCTTATAATTAAAATTAATATTATAAGCATGCTTGTTGCAATCTCTTTCTTGCCTTTAAAACAAGGAATTGTGTTTGTTTGTTGCCTCACGTCTAAAAGTAGAGTTGGAATTTTTCTCAAGTCTCCATCTCTGAAATCATCTTTGCATTTAATTTTCATCTTTTTATTGGTAATTTATAAAATAGAAAGACATTAACTTTCTAAGCATATTACAAGATTTTCTTGGCTTTCATGGCTTAGGCTTACCATTGTTTTCTGTGGTGGAAGAATATATATTAATAAGTTGGGCTCGAACTGACCAGAAAACTCTATATATCTCCAATATTTTATCTAGCCAACCACACACTAACCAGTTGGTGTGGGTCAGTTTGGTGCTTGGTAGGATCTCTCGGCTTCGTTGTAGTGGGGACCTGGGAATGGGGGTTGGGGGATGATGGGCTACCCTCCGTTGTGGCCCCTAGTACAAACTTATCTAGTAGGAAATTAAGGCCATTACTCAATTCTGGTTCGATATGGGGATGGGAGATAATACACTCAACCTTTCTCCAAGATATTCGCACAAAATGGATGCTTTTGGATTACAAGTGTCTAAAACTAGTCTTCTTGGGCTTGTCAGTTCGAAATTTTCTCACTGCACAGAGCATTAAGCAAATAAGCATTGATCCCTTAACAGGGATCGATCCAAGGTCGAGCTCTTGAATATAAATCTATTCAGAGAGGGCTAGTATTAGTATTTTAAATGAAAACACATTAATCTTAGCTGTTTATATGTCAGATAATATGCACTCCTTCAAATTAAATGTTTATTTGATTACTTGTTCAACTTCAATTTCTTCTCACTAATTAGTCAGTAAGCTGGTAAATTGTTCTCGACGGGAAGAAAGAAAGGGAGGAAAAGAAGAAAAGAGTAATACCTCCGATGGATCAAACGGGTTCTGCTGGGAATCACAGTTTGATGGGTACGATCCGTCGTTGTAATTGGGCCAAAGGCCATGAATGCTAAAATCAGCTGCTGGCTTTCCGGTTTTGGGGTAGCAACAACCTCTCCTTGTATCACAGTAGGACCCTGGCCACTTAAAAAGTAAGAAGAAAAAAGTACTTTGAGTTTGGAAAACAACCAAAACTGAAATAAATGGCTTAATGTTTACCAAAAATAAATAAATAAATGGCTTAATATATACTAAGCAGGGTATTCTGTTGAATGAGAGAGCTCGAGGAAGTCACCTGTTGAACAAAATAGAAGAAATCAAAATCCCTTGAAGCACATAAAACTGCTAAATGTTGTACTGCAAGAACCCCAATGAACCATCCATGAATGCCCCTCATGATCTCTCTCTCTCTCTCTTTTGCAATGCTTGAATAAGCTATACATACTTATAGGCAGAAGTAGATGCGAATATCCCTCTTTCCGTTGTATTAGTTTATACTTTATACAGGGTTGCGTATAACCTATAAATATGTACACGTCGGACCCTCAATAAATTAATACAAGGGATTGCTTTAGGTTCATGTCAATAGTTCTGAGAAAAATTTAATTTGTAGATCCAACTAAATTTTTGTTTATATAATCAGGGCAGGGTCTTGGGGAAGGAGAATTGACCCCATTGGCTTGGTCAATCACAAAGAGGAATTTAAATCTGTGCCCACAAACGCTCCACAGTACATCTCAATCGTGTATTGGGACCAATAACAAGTACGAGAGATATTCGCTGAGATGTGCAATGGGGTGTTTGTGGGGAGCACCCGGGCGCAGATGTCAATTCCACAAAGAAAACCTACTTCTGACAATGTTTAGAGTTTTATGCTTAAAGTATAGTTAATGGTCATTTATCAAAAAAAACAAAAAAACAGCTAATCATCTATTGTGCACTATTTTCATTAAATGTATCTATTGCTTGTTAGAATGGTTGTTGGGATTGGTGGGAGATAATCATGCAAATCGATTAGGCAAAACGGCGATCATAATTTATCCTCATCACGAAATTGGTATTCACACTTGCAAAAGGACGAGAAGATGTTCCCAATGCAACGCTGTAAAAGTTGTGAGTGAAATATATCAGTGTTTCTTATGCCATATGGATAAGGTAAGAGTCCCATGCCTACAATGTTCATTTGTGATAGGTTTTTCTAGCATATGTTGTGCATGAATTTGTCTCCAGCACATTTGGTCCCTTGGAATGAGTTTTAATTAACATTGATAATATAGAGTACCCAAATACATGCATAATGTATCTATCTATAATATATAAAATGGATAATTGCTTTGGCTCCATGCAAGTCATGAAAGTTAAATTTAGGTATTGTTCTTTTACAATTTTGTAAATTACTAGGTTAAGTGAATTTATTCGGGTAAATGTTTTTTGAGTAACATTTTATTTGGAAAAATTCATTTACCAATGTACTTTTCATTCACAGGTAAGTAATATAATTACCTTTTTACTCATAAAAAGTTAATGTCAAAATGAATAAATTTATCCCATTATGCTATATTGTTATGTTTGGTTTCAGTGCAAATTTATTTGCGTTGATGCAAAATTCTAGTAGTGCAAATGTTTTGGGTGTAAATTTTGATACATTTTTGTTTCAAATTTTACCTTATTTTATTTGGTTGTCGTACAAGTACAAATGAAGCAAAAAAAAGACCTAAAGCAGAATAAAGTAAAATACAAAACAAAATCAAACCAAAATTTGCATTTTTCTTTTCATTTGCACTCCCATTCATTTGTACTTGTTTAATTAAAATTGCACTACAACCAAACACAACCTTATGTTTTATAATTTTTCCCCCAAGTGAGGAATTTATCCATCTGGGAAATGGGCAAGTTTTACCCGAGTAAATGAGGCTTTCTTTACCATGGGGCCCAGTAGTTAATGCAAAAAAGAGTGTTGTAAAATTGGTTAATGGGTATCCCCCCTCGTTATTTACCGGTAAATAAATGGGGCCTTAGGGGTAAATTGTTAAAATCTCCCCCGATACTTTTGGTTGTTGCCGAAACCTCCCTTGAAGTTTGATAATTACAATCATCTCTCCTGAACTTTCTGACATAGTTGCAACTTGCAAATAGACTCCCTTTATTAGAATCTTATAAACAAAGGCATGAAGATGTCCAAAATACATATACAGTTAGTTTTATTCAAAACGTTTATTTTCCAATTTTCTCTTCATATGAATCGCTAGCTCAAACCCTTCCAATCTCTTTTTTGAAATTGATGTATTTTCCAAATTTTCCTTTCATATTAATTATTCAAATGTAAAGCTGCAACTTTGAATTATCTATTTTTTATTGCTTATAAAGTTTGTATTATTATTTTTTTCTGTGGAAATCAACCTCAATAGTAATTGTATGGGTATATGAGACATTTTGTGCCTTTTTTAGAAGATTCTAACAAAAGGGATCTAACTACAACTGTGTCAATAAAGTTTAAGAAAAGTTTCAGCAACAGTCAAAAGCTTCTTGCATGCAAGGTTTCAACAATTTATCCTTAATAATACGATGCTAACTTATATTTTTACCCTTTACCCTTTATTCGCTAATATGCATATATCACGTGTTTACACTAATACTATATAAAGAATACTTGCCTTTTCGTTTTGTATATATAGTTAAATCCAAATAACACACATGTTTATTCGCTAATTACCACTACTTACACCAATCTATAAAGTATATATCATCTCATGAGATGATCGCACTGTTAGCGACCACTTATTAAAATGTGACCCATTTGGCTTAGCTTTCAAATTAATTGCCATATAAACCTCTCTTTTGATATTATTATCATTGCCTATTGTTTAATCAGTCGATGTCAGGCAAAATGAATTAAAAACCTTGGAGCTTTCCACCATGCTCGACTCAGTCACCAACCGTGATGTGGAGCTGGTTGCTGATTGTTTCTTGTTTCCATAAACCGTTGAAATATATGTTATTACCCTGAGAATGAGGTTGAATTAATCCAGATCAAACTTGTCTTCAAGTCTTTTACATTATTGTAGTTATTGTACCAATCGGGTCTCATATGTAGAGTTCAAAATATTTAAGGCACATGGTTAGCAAGATGTGGGTTTTATGTGTCAGATCCAACTAAGGACTTGATAGACTCTAGATACATGCATGCATCTGCTACCAGAAGGGCAGATATAAAATTAATTTTATGCTGTGTTTAGCTTGAAGGAAAAGATAGGGAAAGGAAGAAAAAAATTTAATTTGTACAGGTTTCCCTATCTATCCCTACCTCTTCAAATACAACATTTTGTCTCTTATCCTGGTTTCAATATCTCTATAAATAATATAAAGTGTAAGTCAAATAAGATGGACTGGTTTAGTGATAGGATAAGGAAAAACCAACTGAAAATAAGCAAACTTGATGCAACTATAAGGTAAGTATATATATAAGGACGAAGGGAAGAACAAGGAAAACTTGGACTGGGGAGATGAGGAATGATTAAAGGACTAATAACTAAATATTTAATATTTTACATAAGAAATTAAAGAGCCAGATAAAAGCATATGGTGGGACAGGATTCATATGGCTAACACCTAGAGGCGGAGCCAAAATTTTTTTGTGAGGGGGCCAAAACCTAAAGTAGAACGGGAGAGGGGGGAATAAGTATGGATGGACCCATAGTGGGGCCAACCATTGGGGTGGGGAGTTTGGGAGGGGGAATTGATTTTACATGGAAAATTCTATTCGAAATGGAGAATTCTGGGGGCCATGGCTCCCCTGGTAACACCCAAAAAGCTTCAAGTTATCGTGACTGCTATTTTAACGTACTTTAATCAATAACAGTTGTACGTATAAACAGGGGAAAATTGATTTGCATATGTTCAAATTTGTTTATAATTTCTCAAATAAGATGACATGAATTTTCCTCCACTTTATTTTTATTTATACATTTTATTATCAGCATCAGCACAGGGGTCTAGTTATGATCGAGGATATGCATGATATTTGAATTTAATATAACAACGGTTACAACGTCGAAAGAGAAACCCCTCTGGCCTCTGCCGTTCCTTGCTCAGAAGGAAGGGAATTCGATTCTCGAACTGCACCTGCTGCTCGGGAGTATTGGGCACTGGATGAAGTTGGAGGCCGATGTGTCCACGCACAAGTATATCTGATATAGCTGACTATTTCCGGACTTATCAACGTTGCACTCTATTCCAGGAGTATATCCAATTCCTTGTGTTAAGGCATCCTTAATACTGTCCAAACTATAAAAGCCTCCGTTGGGCTGGATTCCTGCAATATTTAGTGCCATTCATTTAGTACACAGACATGAACTCAGGAAAGGTAATCGAACTGGTTGGAGCCCAAGACCATTGAATTCAATGGTACGCCCATACACCAATCAAATCAAAACCATGTATGATCGATGTAACTAGGTGTAACAATCACCCAAGCCCAACTCAATAGAAGTAGAAGCCTAGCCCATAACTAGTATGGGCCAGGCTGCAGCTGGCTGGAAAAGTAGGTTTCCATGGACCATGATTGAAATTGTAATATGTCAAAGTACGTACGTGTAGGTGATGAGGGATGTGTATCATGAATCATGAATCATGATGAATGGGGGCAGACCCATTACCCATTACCTGCATTTCGTAGGATTTGGAGGAGGTTGGCTTTGTTCTGGAGATTGAGAGTTGACTGGAAGTATCCGTGTTGATCGAGGACAGACTCTGAGCAAGTCCCATGCTTCTGCCATTCATGCGACCAGAACTTGAGACCATCACTGCTTGGGCAGCTAAGCGATGGCCAACTCCTCTGCATTCTACTGGTCAAGTCCGAGATCTGAGCACCACCAAATAAGGCGAGCAAGTTTAATTTAGACAAATTGGCATCAAAAGAAACCTCTGCTGTTACCGTTCTATTTTCACAGCGGCGCGAGAAGCAGATCCCGACGACGAAACCCCAAGTTGAGAATCTTGGATGGATGTTTTGCGTGAGTGAGCTGTATACTTTTGTGGTCGTGGGATTGTTTTTGGCAATTAATTTGCATTGTCATTGATTGGGTGTTGGTGTTGCCTACACAACCTTTACTTGCAAGATTTTCTTGTCGGCGCTTCGCTTCCTTTGCAAGGACAAGCATTGTGGGTTGTGGCTTTCAATTCAAGTATCTAACAGCCGGTCCATTAATGGACTCGCGTCAATACAACGACCATCCCAAAATTTACACGCTCACAGTTGCTGAAATTTGTAAGAGAAACTGGTTTTATCATCGCCTGCCCGGTTGGTCCCAGCCTCCCAGCTATCAGCCTCGGGTGTGTGTATGGACTAGGGAGGGGTCGGCTCCACACCACTAGATATATATAGTTATATTACTGACCTAATGGGCCCAATCGAGGTCACATCAGCGCCCCACAATGCCCCCACGGCACATTCCTACCTTGTATTAGGAATATCTCCTGGTGATGGTACCGGAGATTATAAGACTTGGTGGGGAGATGTCCACAATACAAGATTGGGATCTCCTCCCACGAGAACTCTGCCTATCCACAATATAATTATCCTTGTGAATTGGAAACAAACATTTTTCCTTATATAATCCTTCTTTATGTATACTTGTAATAAACATGAACACCCGTGGGCAGGAGATCCGGACTACTTATTAAAGGTCCGTTTCTAAATTACCAACCCCGTGTAGTGTATGTTTAAACTTGAAAGGGCCTGGTCTGATGATTCTGATCTCTTGTTTTCTGTAGCTTTCGTCATCAAAGATAATCGTTTACGTTAGTGGTTCTAGGCTTCCAGCCTTGGGCTAAAACCGACCGTTATTGCTGTGGCTCCACCTAAACTGGGTGAAATGACATTAAGGTGGGGGCCACAGAAACACACCGGCGGCTATGATTTCACGGAAGCCCTAGTCTAAAACCATTAAAAAAAAAGTTGGAAATCTTAAGAAAGGTCAAGCGAGAACCAATACTGAATAGGATGGACGGACCACCAAAGCACAAACCCCATATATGGCTGTGTTCGTCAGTTCCAAATCCCCTATTCTAAATTTTAACCCACAAAGAAAAAAAAAAAAAAGAAGGGAGAACAAGCCGGCAACCTCATCGATCAGATTCAAATTCTCAATATCTTCCACTCAAATTTTCAATATTGTCTAACCAAAAAATAGTATTTTTTTTTTACCTCCGATGAATCCAAAGGGCTATTGGGATCACAGTTGGATGGGTACGATCCATCATTGTAATTGGGCCAAAGTCCATGAATGCTGAAATCCGATGCAGGCTTCCCTGTAGCTGGGTAGCAGCAACTTTGCTTTGTATCACAGTACGAACCTGGCCACTAAAATTAATAAGTAGAGAATAAGAAGATGATGACGATGAAGTGGAGGAAGCCATTGCATAATGAGCTTTTAGAGAGTGACCGAAACAAGTGGGATTATAGAAAAAAGGAGGGAGGAATTGGTTGATCTTCTTTCTTCAACAACAGAAACTACTCACCTGTTGAACAAAATAGAAGAAGTCGAAATCCTGTGAAACGCATAGCGCTGCCAAAAATTGTATTATAAGAATCTGAACGAGGATTGGGTGAATGGATTTCATGGTTTCTCTATTTTTCCTTCTTACTTTAGGGGCTTTGTTTGCCTTTGTTTTGCTTGCAGTTGTGGTGACTGGTGAGGCTGCAACCTCGTCGGGATTTCTCTATATTTATAGGCAAAAAGCAAGAGCAGGCGGGATTTGATCGGAATATTCGATAACTTTAATCCTTGATATCGTAGTCTTGCGTGATGGGCCTGCAATGCTCTGTGTCGATTTGCCTCTGCTAATTAATTGGCAATAACGCCCTTCTTTATTTGCCTTGTTGTTTTCTGGAATAATCTAATTAACCCGGCCAACTCCACAGATCCACTCCACTCACCCGGAAGTGAGAAAGGGAAAATAGGAAAGAAAGGCATACTCTTACCAGTTGCTTACACGTGTTGATAAGAAGTGAGCAGTTACAAAACAAAGGTCTCCCTCCAAAACAAACACCTTTCACGTGCGCATGCATGTTATTGGCTTTATTCATTGTCTTTAAAGTTTAAACTTTTAAACCATGCAAGAACGAACGAGACTCAGACAGAGACAAACACACGGACGGAAGGAAGAATTTGGCTTGGGACTTGGGAGATATATGTAAAATTAAATTAATTAGCAAAATGTACAACCTGCTAATAATACTAGACTGCGCAGTTAGCGCTGTTTCCTAGTTACTAGTTAGTACGTGATAGTATAGACCGATAGGGCTTTCAATATTTTATTCAAACCCTAATATGGAATTTTTTTATTGGTCGGAATTGGTTTCCAAATCATAATGCATTAGTTCTGTTATCATGTGCTGTACTCCTCTGTCTTTCTTTTTCCTTCAAGCCCCTTCATCGTTTGAACACGGCAACCAAAAAGAGCGCTGATGCCCCCAAATGTGTCGGCCTTTTGCGAAAGTTTTATTTTTATTTTTTTAATTAAAAATGAATGCCATGGCCAACTTTCTTTGTTTCCCGGAAATTTGGTTTTTTAGATCTAGGGAGAGAGAGAGAGAGAGACACGGAAGTAAGTGTAGGTATATACATCGATAGTAACCCGGACCCGTTTAGTGGCGAGAGAAGGGATTAGCTGGACAATTTTGATAGGTGTGTTAAGTGAGAGGATGTGAAACCAATTATTGTGGTGCATGTGAGCCATATAGACTCCATATGGAGGCATTGTCTATACTATCACGTAAGCGGGGTGTATTGGATGAGGATGTGGCATTTAAGTTGGGTTTTCCTTTTCGGAAAAATGTATTGAAAAATTGGGGTCATCGAAATTTAAAACAGAAGCTCTTAGGTGTATATGTTATTTTCTCCTATTCAGTTTTATTGACTTTGCTGTTGGGATACTGGCAAATTCATTTCCAGGATACAATTGAGTTTTGGGCGATAATTTACAACTAGCAAAGTTGAAGATTTTTCGAAGAAAAAACTCCTTAAATAATTTTTGAAGAGTCATGGAACATAGGGTTGTTCATTGGTCAGGTTGCATTGGTTTACTAGTTTTTTTTTCAACCAATCCGACTTGGTTGGGTTACCTAAAGAGTAAACCGAAACCAACTTGGTCGGTTTGGGTTGGTTCTGGAAATATATTTAAAACTGAAATATACATTTTAGAACATATATATATATATATACATACATACATACATACATACATATTAAACTAGAATATACATATTATATATAATATTTTAGAATATATTTTTTGGAAATATATTTAAAACCAAAATATATATACAAATATATCAGAATATATGTTTCGGAAATATATATCTGATATATTTCAGAATATATATAATTTTTAGATATATTTATTATTTAAAACTGAAATATTTATATTTAACATATATTTTTTCAGAATATGTATTTTTCAGATATATATTTATTATTTAAAACTGAAATATCTATATTTAACAGATATTTTTTCAGAATATATATTTTTCAGATATATATTTTTTCATATATTTCGGTTTTGATGCAAAACAGAAATATCTATATTTAATAGTTTTAAATATAATATATATATATATATATATATATATATATTTAAATTAAAACCAAAATATATATTTAAATGGATTAGTTTTTCATACAAAACTGAAGTTTTTTGTGCAAATATATCATAAATAACCGGATTTTTTTTCAAAGCTTAAACAAAACACAAATAAAATATATCAACTATTAACATGCATTAAATTTTAAAAATATTAAATAAAAAAATACTAACCTGTGAATGTGATGCTTGAGTCTTGAGAAGTTGAAACTTGAGAGTTGAGAGAATGAGAGTTGAGATTTGACAAGATAGGAGAGCCAAGTGAATGAGTGATATTGAAATTTGAAAATCTTGAGAGTGCTTAAGCCTTGAGGAGGCAGACCAAGAAAGAAAGAGTCAAAGAAGAATGAAATTTGGAAGAAAACTAGGACTTGCAGTGCTTACAGAATAGAGAACCTCTAGTTTAGGAAAGAAAGGACTCCTATTTGCCTATTTGGTGTAAAAGATAGTGGGATACCTTAGGGAGTAGAGAACCTCTCTTTTAATCTTTTTAAAAATGCAAGAAGCCAATCTTTCTAAAGGTATAGGGAGTAGAAATTTTGCTTACCTTGCAATGCTTGCCATTAATGCCAATCCTAAAGACTAGAAAGAATAAATAACTAAGTTAGTAAGTAACTAAAAAATTAATGCTAAAAATAAGTAACTAAGTTAGTAACTAACTAAAAAGTAGGATAGAGATAACCTACTTAGATAACTCGGTTCGGTCGGGCTGGGTTAGTAACAAACCGAATTATCGATTTATCCATCTTTACAATTTGAAATTGATTGGTGGTGAAGAAAAACTGGACAAATCAGTCGGGTCGGGCTGGGTTGGTCGATTTGGCATTGTTTGTGAACAGTCCTAATAGAACATAGGAAGGTGCTGGTTCAGAAATAGTGCTTTTTTATCACACTTGATGGAATTGTGTGTGAGGCTGAGCAAAGCCGCCATTCGCAAGCCACGCTGGTGCAAACAAAGTGCGCCTCATTATTCCGCACATACATACAATATGGGACAAGTTTTATAATTTTCTAAGGAGTGTAAATAAGCTCCTATTTAAAAACTTAAAACAAGTTTTGTTAATTTTCAATATAGGACAAGTTAAAAACTAGTTTTAATAAAAAAACTATTTTTCAAAATATGTGTACGAATATATTTTTTTATATAATTAATTAATCAAATTCTATTAAATTTAATCTTTAATGAGATTAAAATCCAACAATATGTTGCTGGACGCCACACATCTAAGGAAGGGTGCCTTTCCTCAATTCCTCTGCTTGTTACTGTTTAGCACAGAAATTGAACACGGCTGATGGTCCCAGGCAGGCAGGCTCCCAGCTGCTGTGCAAATGCATGTGTGCCCATTGAATAATACAACCCGTAATAAAATGTAAAACCAGGGGTTCACATGGACTAGTGCTTAGTTTGGTAATTAGGCAAACTTGAAAGTTGAAGAATCTCCAGATTTTATTCATAAGATTTACATAATAAATATGTAAATCTTATAATTAACATAATACAGTTATATCAGTACTCTTGGCTCATTTATTGAGTATGAATAAAATTCATTAACCAAGTAAGCTGACTCAATTATACATAAATATTTAATAAGAATTTCTATCACCAAATAATTAATTGTATGGATGATGCATGGAACATTATATATTCAAACCTTCAGAGGATCAGGACCTATTATTTTCTTTTTCTTCAACGGGGGTAGCCCATCTTCAACTCAGGTGCATGTCAATCTCAAAGTCTTTGTTACAATCAATGTTTTTGAATCGTCGTTGATTCAGACAGTAAGACCGTTTAGTCTGAAAATTGTCCAAACAACTATTTCTATTTTACCTCTAACCTGTATCTGTTGCCGCCACTTTGCCATTGCCGCCGCTGATGACATTGAACCATCATCTTCCTCTTGTTTTTCTTCCCTCCTTTATTTCCTTTCTCTTCTTTTCTTTTTTCCCTTTTTCTTTTCTTTCTTTCTTTTCTTCTTTCTTTTTTTTTTTTCTTTCTTAGTCAACGCCTCTTCTCCACTCTAATTCTCCTTTCTCAAATCTCATATAAAATATTTGCCCTAACCCTAATATACAAACTGTTCAAACCATTTAACCCGAACAGTCGAATCGCTGACCCAGAAACCGGTACCTAGAACAATTCTATTTCCAGATCGGTTTTTAAAACCTTGGTTACAACCAATAGGATACTGGATACCTTACCAACTAAATAGTTGGCACCTTGCAGGATCAGGGCCTACTATAGGATCAGGCCCCTATAAAAAATCTGACTGCTAAGATGACATTAATTTCTTATCTAATTTCAGAACTTGGAGAAAATAAATTTTGATAAAACTGATTTGTGACATTCAAGTGCCTGCACCAAACTACTAGGAGAGACATGGTGGGCTCCAGGGTTTACGGGGATGTGCCAACAACTCATGAGACTTCCTCGTGGCAGAACAAACTAATCTGGTCTGGGGATGCACAACGCAAGATGTAGCGCTAGCGGCAAGTTCAATTTTGCTCTGAATCCGGCAGCTTGGGTTGAAGACGTCCACTGGGTTGGGTGGACTTGGACTCGGGTCCAGGCAGGCAGGCAGATTGTTAGATCTTGGATGTGGATAAATCCTTATGCTATGTTTGGTTTGAAGGAAAATGTAGGGAAAGGAAGGTGGTGGTGCACGATGTGATGCTCCCTATTGGTGAAGAGTTTGGACGGCGGACTAGGTAGGTCATTAGGTTGAGCTATAAAGAAAGAGAGAAAAGATCCGAGTACTCGAGCTATTTTGCCCGGTGTGAGTATTCCGATGCTTAATTTAGTGAAATGGAGTTTTTAGAAAGCTAGAGAGAGAGAGAGAGAGAGAGAGTTTGAGTGCTAAATCGCACGTCCCTTTCTTAGAAAATGTCGGTGCCTGGTGTCAGTTGGCGTGAACTTCATGCACCGCGTCCGAGATCCCCAGGACAATGTGACTAGGCTGCAAATAAGTCGAATTAGATCCGATCTGAATTTCATATCAATCCGTTAAGAGGCGGATTTGGTTATCCCTCTTGATCCTAACAAATCAGATCGGATCAGAAAAGCCGATTCGTTAACTTAACGGATCGAATTTGGATATTGGCCGATCCAATCCGTTGTGACACGATTTGATTTGTTAATTATGAATATTATATATGATGTATTATTTACATATTATATATGTATATTCTATATATTATTTATATATTATATATTATATATTTTAATATATTACAATATTATATAAATAATATAATATATTATTTTATAAATATAATTCTAATCGAATTGGATTCAAATCGAATATCCAATAATATATTCAAATTCGAATTCGAATCATACTTTTGAAAATCTGACGGATCCTTATTAGGTTCGGATCAACCAAATTTTCTTAATGGGTCAAATTGGTATGCCCTTAATGAATCTGATCCGATCCATTTATAGCCCTAGACGTGACTTATCAGTCTGAAGTCCTCGGAGGTAGTTTCGCATGTGGGCTAGGCTTTCATGCCTTATTTGGTTGCCTCCAGAACGATCGGTGTGGGAGCTAACTTTTGGAGGACCTGGAAGTGATAAGGCGCATGCAGGTCGGCGAGCACGTCTCGTAGGTCGCCACCTGGACCTTAGTCAGGTCGATAAGTCCTTCGGGGGAGGTTGCTCCTCATGTTGAGGTCCCTTAGACCGGTACTGATGAGGTACCACAGGTCGGCCCTAGATGAGGTGCTGCTAGCCGCTCCCCCTAGGTGTCTGAGCTATGTACGAGTTGCTCGGACTAGTTCTGTGGTGTGCCTCCTTAACTTAGTGAGATTTGCAATTGTTCGTGTGACACTAAAGTGCTATGTGATGGTCTATTGTGCCACGTGTTATGATATCATTTGAGGACTAAATTACCCTTATCAAGGTAGAAAAATCTATGCAAGGTTTATAAAGGTTTCCTTACTTTTTCCTTCAAACCAAATAAAGCCCTACCGTAGAATGCTAGGGTTGGGCTTAGTGTGCACTCGATAGTCTCGTTTTGAAGATTTTACACTACATTATTTCCAGGCTTCCGAGCAAGGTTGGGCCCGTTCAACTTTTTAGAAAATCCCAACCCAAGCCGGCCCAAGTTGAACTACTAGGTTGGGGCAACGCCCCAGGCCCTAGCCTTGGTGCCGTTATCCAACATGGGATAGATTAAATTCCGCTGTGGCTGCAAGAAAAGCTCGCCCTAGAAAACTTTTAAAAATCTTGGGGCGTTGGGAAAGAATCCTCAAGGCTGCTGGGCGTTGGCTTACTTGCAAAAAATTAAATGGTATAATCTGTAATAGCCTTTTCAGTGGAGCAAATGAGACAAAGTGATGAGGAAGTAGTTTGTTTTCAGCGAAGCAGTGGAGCTGGGTGGTGCGGCTGATGAATGATGAGGAAGGAAGCCTATTACACTTTACACATCGGGAGGAGGAGGGAGGTCCTATTTGCGGGCAATGCACAAATAGAAATGTTCATGCATGTTTGGGCCTTTCCTTTCTTGGATGGTGAGGACTGAGGAGCAGACTAGGGAAATTTCCAAGGAGTTGGAAGAAGCAGCCATTAGACCAAGACCATCCAAAGATTATCTGAGAAAGAGGGTAAAGAGGCAGTTGATGATGTGGATGCAGATCTTTGTTATTTTAGGAGTTTCTCTTGGCAACAGAAAGTTGAGGAATCTAGTGGGTTTAAGGTGGTTCAAGAGGGTTATAAAGGTCCAAAGAGCGTCAAGGGCTGAGAGAGAGAGAGAGAGAGGTAATCAAGGGATGAAAACGGCTTAATCTCAGAGATTGGTGTGATTAGGAGGCTTAATTAACACAAGAGCTGTGAGTTGGTAGCTTTATTGAAGTTTGTCTGTAAATTAAATATTGTATGTTTTGGCTTGGCTGATTGTAAATCATGTACATCTCTTTTTTACCACTGCTGCTTGTTGTTTTAGGTGGGCCGGCTGTTTCTCTCAAGCCTGTTTGTAGATGCTGTTGGACTAGATTTTTTTTCGGAGTGGGTTAAGGTTGTGGGCTTTTTTATTGGAATGGCTCTGTTTTGTTGGGGTGGGTTTATGAGCCTCTTTTGTTGAGTCGGGCTCTTTTTTATCTTTTTCATTTCAATAATTTTTTTTTTTTGCTTTACTTTCAGAAAGGAAAAAAAACAACAACAATAATGGAGTATGAGAGGAAGCATAATTGGCTCCACTTTCTCCTTAAAAAATCTTTATTTTTCCCTTTATTTGGTTTATTTTCTTTATATATATTTTCTACCATTTTTTTCTTGTATCGCACGTGAAAAGCCTTTCCACGCTAATGGGGGGCAATGGAAACAGTATCAACAAAGTCAACAGACGTGTCTTGTGTTACTGTAGAGGTAGAGGATGCGATATAATTCTCCATTACCCCCTTTTTCTTATGTGCACTTGCACAGTTTTGATTAATGCACAGGATCACAAACAGATATAGAAAAATCTAATATATTTGATGACTACGATCATGTGATCATCACCCAAATTGATTTACACCCAAAAAGAGGGAGATTCAAGCTTCTGAACAAAGAATTAGTAATTTAAGATTAAATTAGCAGAACAAGAGATCATTGGTGCATAATATGAAAGTAAGAATTTGATGGATATATACCATTTTGTTATCAGCGGGATGGGTAACATATTTTTTATGAGCTTGATAGAGATGATACCAGTTACATTGAACTTTGCCCTCTTTTTTGAGTTTGAATCTCTCCACAGAGAGAATCATAAGACTCCGGCCATGTATTGGTGGTTGACGAAGTGGGTAAATCTATCATCCCCATAAGTTTTCTCTTTTTGTAATTGGCCTTGAAACAGGCTTGTCTAAGCTTCTTCGTCTTTTCCTCAAGTTGCAAATCAGGCATTTCCTCCATCAACTTTCTCTCCTGCTCCAGTATCTCCACTGCATTCCTGAGCTTTTCTCGACTCACATCTCGGTTTTCTTTACCCAGTTCCTGATTTAACCATGCCATTAAGAAAAAAAAAAGGTTAACGCAGCCACTGATACGTGTGCATGAGAGAGAGAGAGAGAGAGAGAGAAACGCTAGAGCTTAAGTACCTGAACGTTTTTGATGAGGGTCTGCAAGCTAATCAATTTCCTATGAGGCCATCTCCGAATTCCTAATTCCCTACACCTTTTCTTCAAGAGTGTTAACCCAATGTTTAGTTCTTTGGCAGCTTGTGTGATGGGCATGTAGAAGTAACGGGATATGGTACTACGGGTCAACTCATTCGAACCTAAACTTTTTTCTTCCCTGACCCTCTTTGGCTTCTCTCTTATCAAACTCTCACCAGCCTCTTTACTATTATCATTATACAAAATAATCTCTTTCCCTGTTTCAACTTCAAATCCAAAATTCAGGTCGTCCCAGATTCCGATTCCATTTCTATGACCAATGTAGAAATCCTCTACAGATGATTAAAAAAAGGGAGCGATTGAAAACAATCAAATATAATTACAGGAAGGCAAAAATCAATCGTAATGGTAAGATTGAAATGGATACTCACCTTGGCATAGAAATGGGTTTTCAAATTCCTCAATTGATGTGTAAATAGGATCAGTTGGGAAGCTCTCCATTAGAGGTATAGGTTCAAAGATACTCTCGGGGATGGGAAACTCCCATTGCCAACTTAGTGGAATGGGGTATCCACTTGAGAAAAATACAAAGAAAATTCGTTAAAACTTGCCGGTTTGCGTCTTTTAAATAAAAGATATAAAATAGAGCTGCAGCTCACAAACTCAAAATCAGAAAGGTAATCTTACCTAAAGTCAAGATGAGTCAAGTATTTTGAACATGCATCTTCTTCACACGCCATTTTCTCATATCCACACCAGTTGAGTGTCTTGGTTTCCATGCTGGAGTAAGATGCAAACATACACTGTGAGAGAGAGAGAGAGAGAGAGGTTCTCTGGTATTGCAGGAGAGATCTAGTTAGAAGGACCCAAAAAATAGTGGAGGGGAGATTAAAAGGAGGAAAGGAGCGAGAAGTGTATCTATGACTTGGAGATCGTGCGCCGTCCAAGGATAAAAACTGCCATGCATTAGCTTGATTAATGATGGACGTGTGAGAGTTACAAGATTATAGAGAAGGAGAAATTTGAGGAAGTTAATGATGATGAGAGAGAGAGAGAGACGATTGGATTAAGTTAAACCGAAACAGCCACACCTCCTCCCATGCATGGGCCACCTCTCCATTATTTCTTCATTACTTGAGAGAGATTTATTTGAGACTGGGCAATCAACTCATTTGCATGGAGATTGGAGAGAACCACAGGTTTCAGGCGTGCACGTTAATTAGTAGGACAATTTGGAGCGTTATTAGGCCAAAAATCATCAGATTGGAATCCTTACCTTCTGGTGGAGCATCTGGCTACAAAATGCCGCCTTAGCACTCCATAACTATAAGCACAACCATAGACTCTTCCAAAGCAGCTCGAGTCCACATTTCCGCCCCACACCACATCTCCGCCGGAGATGTTCCCAATACAAGGCGGGGATGTGAACTCCCAAAGCTTTTTTTAATGCAAATGACACAATGACACACACACGAGGCTCATCGGGAGTGGTAGAATACTGCAATGTGTATGTCAGTATGTGGGCGTGGGCGGCTCTTAATAATAAAGTTAAATCTTAATACGCTAAGATCGTAAACCAAGGCTCTCTCCCCCGGTTCAGCTTGCAAATCATGACAAGTACAACAACTACTTCTCGTCGGTAAGAGTCCCAAATGATGTTTTTAGTTTAATGCAGAGCCAATCAATCAACTGTACTCTATTTGTTTTGGCATCTATCGTGCTGCCCCTCGCAATTTGTAAATTGTAAAACACACGTCTGGACTGTCAAGTATAATCACCATTTCTCCTTCAATCTCAAGGTTTGGCCACTGGAGTAAGTTAGCATGCGTGAGTGAGTGATGCACCATCAGGACTCTATGACTATCCAGTGCTTCTCTGATCTCTGCAACTGCAAGGAAGTGGAACCACTGGATCGGGAAGAGCTCAATAAGTTACACTCAACTCAACACCCATTTCTAAAGTAACTCAAACCATTTCTTAGCACCGATTAGCTCAATGACAAGTGTATATTTAGGACACTAGAAATTATAACATAAATGAAAAATATTGCAACTAATTAATTTACTTATTTGAGTTGTATGGTAATATAGGATTTACATAACTTATAATAATTTATTTGATTATGAAGAAATTAACAGTGTCATAAGTAAGGTATATGGGTAGTATTTCAATTTTCAAAGAAATGAATAAGCCTTCAAATCATGAAGCAGCAGTGCTTTAAAACTGGCTCGTCAGAGTGAAATGATTATCGGAACTATCTATTGTAGTCTTTACTACTAGATTAGAACAAAAGAAATACGCCTTGTTGAGGGGGAAAAAAATTAAAAGGAAGGGAAATGATCAGTTAAACATCAAAGTTAGGCGCTACATATCAGAAAGCTAAGATTTTCTCAGTTCTTAGGGGACTAACAGTAACAGGCTATTCACTATTGATTGGAGGCGAAATCAAGGGCCACTACATTCTTCAATTCTTATGGGTAATATATGTACATAATTTCTGGGCAACTCAATGCCAAAGTAACGCCACCATCATCGTCTTGGATGAAGTAATTGGAATAAATGCAGAGAGTTTCTACATTATATACTACCACTAGTAAAAATATTAATGATTGCTATAATACCTAGCAAAAGATTAGCTTCTTCATTGAACATAAGTAGTGGTGATGGTGTGCCTTAATCCAATAAAGCGGAAATTAATGAAGGGGGCGGGGAGGAGGTTACACCTTACACGAGCGACGAGTTGGTTGGAATTTGGAAATATCTCGTCTCTCGTCGTCTGTGCAAATGGTGGAGGTCTTTCCTTCCTTAAAATTATATTACCCATGAAATTATATTTTACCAAATCAACATCTGGTCCTACTTTTTAAAGGTTGAATATCTATATCAACAATTCACCATCTGGTTGTAGACTAGTAGTAGTGCAATTTAGAGTTGGAATACACATTATTGTACAATATACAAACTCCAAAATCATTAAATTACGCACTTGCAGTCATCCAATCAAGTTCAATTTTGGCCCCGGTGATTTCCTACAAGAGACCCAATGTTTCTCACATGTTAAATACATCATGGTTCAGGGCTCGAGCTAAAAGAAAAAGTAATTAGTTTGGCTCTAGCATTTTTCCATAATTACTCTTGAAACTTCGTTCCTTCTTTTGTTCCCTCTTTTTTAGAGCTTTTCACAATCCAAGCCAAATGAATACCAAAAACAAAATTTACTCTTGGTTTTCCCTTCGCATATCTCTTGGATGCTGGCATTCAGCATTTTGAAGATGGCATGCATATTTTTTGCTAATTCAAACTTGGTTGGCAGAGGAAAACCAGAGATGAGCTCATAACCATCCAGTCCATTCAACAGCAAGACCATGTCATCTGATTAACAGAGCAGGGGACTCTAACCTTTCTATCACTATGAGTAAGAAATGCATAGCTCCATAAAACCAATCCGAAACTTGACATGCATGACTTTTGCTGCAACATGTGTACATACATAAGACCGATCCAATGCAATTGTAATATCCATAATAATTTGCCATGGACCATGGTAATGCCCTTGCTTACAGAAAAAATCACACAAACTGTAGCTGTAGGTATTATATCAACAACAGAATGTACATTCTATAATGAAATTTTATATTACCAAAAATCCCCACAAGAGCACTTTCCTTGCTTAAAATGATGGAAGCGGTGGAGGTCTCGGAGAATTATTTCTCTATTGAAGATCATGGATATAAATTTTGCAGCAGAATGGCAATCCCCACAAACACGAAGGTTCTTCACCACTCGTATGGTTGTTCTCGGGGGAGTGTTTATTAGACCAAAGGCAATTGCCAACTTCTCACTGTGATATCTAAGAGTAGCTTCTTTTTCTTTCTCTGTCATATCTGCGTGAAACACCAGAGAGGTATCAGGCACATATCCAACCATCTTCAATTCTTCAACCAACTCATCCAGTACCCTATACAACCCTCTAGATTCGGGATGTTTCCCATCCCCTGAGAAGAATTCATGCACCACATTGTCCACCTCAACCGAGCTACACCCAGGTACCTTGGTGACTCCCCTGTCTTTCATCAACTTCCTCACATAATTTACATCCTCCCATCTCCCTGCTCTTGCACACATGTTTGATAAAATCACATAGTCCCCACCATGTGAGTCGTCTAATTCGAAAATACGCTTGATCACGCGCTTGCCCAACTCTACATTGCCATGGCTGCTACAGGAAGATAACAATGTTCGCCAGAGTATGGGCGTGGGCTTGATTGGCAAACCCTCAATGAACTGGTAAGCCTCTTCCAGTCGTCCAGCTCGGCCTAGCAAATCCACCATACAACCATAATGTTTGATCCCTGGAGCAACACCATAAAGACCATTCATGGCACGGAAATATTTGTAACCTTCCTCCACCAAACCTGTATGACTACACGCGTATAAGATACCAAGAAATGTAACTTCATCTGGTTGAACTCCTGCGCTTTTCATCTCCTCAAACATGGATATGGCTTTATTACCATGCCCATGAATAGCATAAGCCACGATCATTGTTGACCACGCTTGCGTATCTCTATATCGCATATTCTCAAACACAGAAACAGCATCCTCCAAGCTGCCGCACTTGGCAAACATGTCAATAAGGGCGGTGTTGACCTTCACGTATTCATTGAACCCATTCCTTTTGATATAGTCATCTATCCACTTTCCTAATTCCAGAGCGCCTAACAAAGCACATGATAAAAGTATGCTGAGCATTGTTACATCCGTGGGCTTGAGATTACTTGCTTGCAGTTCTCTAAACAAGGACAATGCTTCGTTTGGTCGACTATTCCTAACATAACCTGTGATCATGGCATTGTAGGTGACAACGCACGGTTTTAGAATCCTGTCAAAGATTCGGCGAGCTGCAAGCACATCGCCGCACTCCGTGTACATGTTAATAAGAGTGGGATGGACATAGATGTTACGATAAAACCCAAGCTTTATAGCAAGGCAGTGGATTTGTTTGCCTTCTTCCAAGGATTTAGAGTTGGCACATGCCTTGAGAAGAGAAGGAAAAGTGTAGTCATCCGGGAGAAGACCCGACCTAAGAATGTGAACGAAAAGGGCCACGGCTCGAATGGATGTGCCTGTTCTAGCGTACCCACGAGCCATGGTATTGAAGAGGACAATATCTGGTTCGGGAATTTGGTCGAAGAGGTGCTGGGCGTAATCCATGGTTGTAGAGGGATTAAGGGTGCAGAAATTGATGAGCTTGGTGATGACGGAGAGGTCGTGCTGGAGGTGGGATTTTATTGTAGCGGCATGGATTTGCCTCAGTTCTCTCAGGGAGCTGCATTTGGGCAAGAGGGAGAGGGGAGATGGGTGTGTGTCCTTTGAGCTGTCTGTCTTAGATGTAGAACTAGAAGAGAAAAGAGGACCTAAACTTAGAGGGAGAGTCGCCACAGACATTATAATAGTTCAGTTCAAATCAACCAGCCAAAGAGGGAAAAGGGAGATAAAGAAGATGAAGATGAGGAATCCGGCACTGCCGTGACAAATGTTTACCAGAATTGGACAGCTGTTTGCTCATGGAACTCCAAATTCCACAAGTCCAAATAGTTGTCTAGCACTGATAGGCACGAGGCAATGCAAAATTTGCTACAATATCCGCTGATCGAATATCCCAAGATAGAATATAAGGACCACTTATCGGAATCTCATGAATGATGATAGGATAGGAGTAGCCGAGTAGGGCTGCATAGGGGTGTCAATCGAATTGGTTTGAAATCTCATAAAATCGGATTTAGACAGGTTCATTATAATTATTAGATTGAGCCAATCTAAAATAAATTAGATCTGAATCAACTTTTTAATAGTCTGATCATTAGGTTAAATCTTTACTTAATTTGAAATCAATTAAAATTGAAAATAGCATAAAATTACTTTTATGAAAATATTTTTATGGAAACATTTTTATAAAAGTAATTTTATGAAAAGTACTTTTACAAAAGCACTTATAAAAATATTTTTACGAAAGTATTTTTACAAAAGTACTTTTATAGAAGTAGTTTTATAAAAGCACGTTTATAAAATCATTTTAATAAAAGCACGTTTACAAAATCATTTTAATAAAAGCACTTTTACAAATGTACTTTTATGAAAACACTTTTATAAAAGTACTTTTACATGAAAGCACTTTTATGAAATCACTTCTACAAAAAAAAAAAACTTTTATGAAAGTACTTTTATGAAAGAACTTTTATAGAAGTACTTTTATAAAAACACTTTTACAAAAGCACTTTTAGAAAATCACTTTTATAAAAGTGCTTTTAAAAACACTTCTACGAAAATACTTTTACAAAATCACTTTTATGAAAGTACTTTTACAAAATCACTTTTATGAAAGTACTTTTACAAAAGCACTTTGCTTTTGTAAAAGCATTTTTATGAAAATATCTTTATCAAAGTACTTTTACAAAAGTGTTTTTTCAATGTTAAAAGTGCTTTTATATAATTTTTGATATTTCATTCCGTTTGGATTGGATCCAATCCAATCCATTTACATTTTAATGGATTGGATTGGATTTGGACTTTTGTCCATTTATAAGTGGACTCACATTGGACTAGATCGGGTTGGACCAAATCTGTCCAATTGACACCTCTAGGGCTGCATGTCGGGTTGAGGCCAAGCCAAGTCTAAGTTATAAACCTCCAACCGGACCTATTCAATTCCAACTCTATAATCTTAATATTAATTAAATTCCCTCAATTTCAATCTAATCCAAAATCAACTTTTTAGACTTGGATTGGGTCTTAGTGTCCAATCCAACTTTCTTTCTATTTCTTAAAATCCTATAAAATTTTTTAATTTCAAAATTTAATTCAATGTTTATTATACATTAATTTTATGTTTTATTAGTATTTTGTTTGTTGGTGTTTTTATTGATTCTTTTAATATAAAATTAAAAAAAAAGTGTTTGAAATAATTATAATTTATTATGAGTTAGGATTTATGATAAATCTTTTATAGGCAGAAAGTTATGGGTGGCAAACAACAAAGAGGAGATGAAGAATAAAATATATAAAAAACATAAAATATGTTATTAGGGTTTTCATTAGTACTAAGTGAAGTGATTATATTAAAGAAATACATAATAGTATATGATGGGAGCTATACAACTATCATACATATAAACAAATCAATATATAATATATCATATATATAACATATATTTATATATGACATGTATTATAGAGTCGAGTTTGGGTTATGTCAGGTTGTTCGAGGGTGTCAACTCTAACCCAACCCAGAGTAAAGTCGGATTCATAAATTTCAACCCTAACCGTAATCCAAGCATCAACCCATCCCAATCCAATTCAACATTTTTGAGTTGAGTTTGTATTGGGTTTGGGCCAACCTAGCCCAAGTTGCAGCCTTAGACGGGAGGATGCAAGCAATGGGAGTAAACCCAAACTAAACTCACATGTGTATACACAACTCTCATGCAAAAAGGGTTCGTATAGGCTTGTCAATGATATGGGAAAAATTTGACATCCGATCCAATTATCTCGTATTCGGATAATATATTTATGTAATTGGATTGGATTTGAATTTTGCAATCTGCATCAATTAATAATTGGATTGGATTTAGATTTGACTCCATATGGTCCAATTAAATCCGAATTCAATTATATTATAATACTTATTAATTTTAATATATAAATTTTATATAGTTATTTTAAAATTATAAAAATATATTTTTATATTATATATATTCAATGCGTTATATTTATATTAATTTGTTATATATAAAAATTGAAAAATAATTAAAAAAGGTCGACTTGTCAGGTCAGTTTAGATAGGGTAAACCCTTAGACCTTGGAACCGGTTTGGGTGGGGATCAATTTCAAGAATTTGGAACCATACCCTATAGTATAATAGATTGGGTAGAGTCGGTTCCATTCGGTTTCGGGTAGAACCTACCCATTTGCTCACCCTTAATACATGGGACATGTGTGAATATTTTGATATTGGCCCCATTTGGTGCGTCTTTCTGCGAGGTCTTTCGGCTATTTACAAGTCGGGCAGACCGTGCCGTAGTCTTTTTCATTTGGTTCGTAACAAATTTAGCTGCCAAAAGTCAATGTGCCGAAAAGACGTGAGAAGCCCATTTTGGGCTGATTTCGGGAAGCTCCATATGGAGATTTTTGCATCTTTCTCACTTTATTCTCATGCGGAAAGACATAGAAAGATGCACAATAGGCAAATTATCTTCAGGCTGCTCAGATCTTCATGCAAAAGCTCAATGCGTCTTTTGACTGTCAGAGCTACCAGAAGATCTTCCCAAAAAGACTTGCCAAACGGCCCTATTGTCTTTTAATTAGTATGTTCACCGGGTATACTTATCAGATCAAGACTCAAAAGCTATAGAGAGTTTATCATGGTTTTCAAAATCGGACTGGACTGGATGGTTGGACTGGAAAAACCGGGAACCGATCAAGTGACTGGTTCCATTTTTCTCCAAAAATCGTTGATTTTGGTCAGCAAACTACTGACCCGAGCGGTTAACCATTCAAACCGTTCGAACGGTTTTGACCATTTTTATTTTTGATTTTTATTAAATTTTTTTTGTCAGAACGGGCCGACCGATCGACCTAGAAACCAAACCCTAACCGGTTCGTTCTCCAGGTCACTTTTAAAAACCTTGGAGTTTATTGGACCAAGATAGGATCTACAATATAAGAGTTAGAAAAATAAATAAAATAAGCTTAGTCGAAGTCTAATAAGCCAATCTTTGCTCAAAGTTGGTCAAGTAAGCCTTTTGGGCTCAGGCCTTGGACCAAGCTTGAGCCAGCCTTGACTTGTGACCTCCAAACAGTTTATAAGGCAACCCATATCTTTCAAATGTCTGTTACATGTTATGGGTAGGGGTGACAACGAGTCGAGCTTTTCACGAGCTGCTCAAGATCGGCTCGGTTTCAGCCGAGCTCGAGCCCAATTCAGTGGCTCGATTATTAAGAGCTTGGCTCGTGAGGTTTGCTAGTCGGCTCGAATATATATATATATAATAAAATTATAGAAAATAATATATGTAATAAAAATATTATAATTCTTAAAATTTTAAATATAAAATAATTTTTTTTATATATAATTTTTATTTTTATAAAAAAAAATTTCTAAATATTTTTATAATAAAATATATAATAAAATATTTTTATAAAATATAAAACAAGTTGAGTCGAGCCGAGCTCAAGCTTATGAACTTTTGACTCGAGTCGAGCTCAAGTTTATGAACTTTTGACTCGAGTCGAGCTCAAGCTTATGAACTTTTGACTCGAGCCGAGCTCGAGTTCATGGTTCTAGCTCGAATCGAGCTTGAGCCTTGTAGAATAGTTTCGAGCCGAGCTCAAGCTTATGAACTTTTGACTCGAGTCGAGCTCGAGTTTAAGGTTTTAGCTCGAATCGAGCTTGAGCCTTGTAGAATAGTCTTGAGCCGAGCTCGAGCCTGGTACTATTTGGCTCGGCTCGGCTCGAATCCACCCCTAGTTATGGGGACCCAACCAGGCAACCATCTAAGGGCTTGGAAGGGGTGGACTGGATACAAATCTAAACTTTGACATTCTTTTAATACAAAGTGAAACCCGTATTCTCATGCTAGTAAGCCTGAGATGTTATCATAATGGCCCCTGGTTCCATGTTATGGGATCTATGTCTTTTAATTCTTTTTCTTATGATTTTTAGGTTGTATTTGACATTCTTTATTGTAAAGACTTATCTCCTTTTTACAATTAAAATATCCTTATTTACATTGAATTTTTAATAGTAAAAAAGGAAAGGGAAATTGTCAAAAACTCACCATGAGTTTTCAGTATTTCTCTTAAATTCACCACAACTTTTCAAAATGTCTAAAATTCAGCATGTCACAAACTTGACGTTAAAGAGACTAAGGGTTGTTAATATATTACCATTTTAACCTTCATATAAAAAATATAAAATATATACATATATAAAATATATACATATATTTTAATATTTAGACATGAAAAAAGGAAAAGTTCAAAAAATATTTTCAAATATAAAATACAAAAAACACAGAAATTACAAAAAATATAAAAAATTATAGAAATTGCACACAAAATAAAAAATTGTTTTCAAATTATAGAAACTATAGAAATTGAAAAACAAAAGTAGAAAATGTAAAAAAATACAAAAATGTTAAGAAACAGAAATTATAAAAAATATTAGAAATTATAACAAAACACTAAAATTAAAAAAAAAGAAATTTGAAAAATGAAAAAGACCCTTTTCCTCTAACTCGCCATTCAAGAGTGATTTGGTCATAAAAATTGTTATTTATGTTGATATGAACACTTCTGTTAAGAAACATTAACGGTGCACTAACGGAAGGTGAGTTTTAGACGTTTTAAAAAATTGTGGTGAGTTTAAGAGAAATGCTGAAAACTCATGATGAATTTTAGACAATTTTCCAAAAAGAAATAAAGTCCTAAAAATAAGAAATGCCAAATGCAGCCTTAAACAGCCTACGTTATGGCATCCTCAGCCTCTTGGCTGAAAACCAGAACCCTATCTCAGATACTCAAAACTCCAACTTGTTCCTTTTTTTGGAAGAAAGCTTTGACTTGGATTAGACTAAATTCAACCCCAATTAAACTTAGTTAATAAATTCCAAGCTTTTCTTCTCTTGGGTTAGGGGCAAGGCGGGTTAAATTTTCCCCTGTGCGTCTTTCAAGTTT